GCCATCGGGGTTGGGTTTTCGTCGCTTGGCAACGACGTTGGAAAACAAGCTCCCCCTTGGTGTTTGCTATCGGAATTGGGTTTTCGTCGCTGGGCAACAACGTTGGAAAACAAGCTGATTCACTTCGTGAACTCGGCAACCAGGATACCGTTTTGTTTTTTTGCCTCCGGTTTTTTTTTTTGGCGGTAACCATAATGGTGGCCGAGTAGATCATGTTGTGCGGGGTGGAGAACCCTCGCTCCGCGCAAGGGGGATGATCGCACCACGTTGTGTTAAAATGGTCAAGCACCCTCGAGGCAGTTACACAGTGCTTACAAATGTCTCTGGAAGTGTAAGCACCAGAAAATAAAGTAAGTCATCCGCAGCTGTCATCCGTATGCAAGGAAGTAGTCTAAGCACAAGATGCTGAACACCCTGAGCAGGATGCAGCGCACCCTTCATGCGACTCGCCGAATATCTCACGGCGCTTCGCGCTTGGTGATGTGAGAGCCTGGTCCGGTGAGAACCCGGCGTGCTCCGTCCCGGCTTTGTAGGGATGCGAGGTCAATGGTCTAACGACTACGGCATGCACGACTATGAGTACACCTCAAGTCCGACGCCAATCCAGAACACTGAGGAGCTTTCGTCCCACCTGGTTAATTCTGACTCCTAGGTAGAATGGACGACAACGTAGCTACCTCCACGGCTCAAGCAACGGACAAGAAAAAGCTCCCCGTCTACAACCACCGTACGAACGATGATCCGTCGACACGATCTGCATCGTTATCGTCAGCATCGTCATGTTCATGTTCGCGTGCGGCCCCATATTCTGGTCAAGATCAGTTTGACGCACAGCCTGCAAACTCATCGGTATCAAGCAATGGCCCAGCTCTGCATGCTATAAATGCTCCTGGTCAGGCAGCGGCAACGGGTGCCAAGGAAGGTTTGTTGGTAATTTTTTCTTCAAATGTTGCGCCAACGTGTCAAACGAGAATTGTTTGAGCGATGAGTTAGAAAGATGTGCGGGTCTGTTCATTTTTCGCCATTCGATCGCTGAAGTCGATATTGTTTTGACCAATGTTTGCTTCTTGTTATCTGTATTTCTCACCACGTTCTGCTGTCTCGGCTGATGATCGATCCGCGAAGGTTTGGTCAAATGTGTATCGCGGGCGGTTGCTGAAGGGCTACATAAGAACCGACGCATTTGGGTGGAATCTTGCCGTCTAAATGATTGCTTCATTGGATCCAAGTAGAGACGCCTAAGCGGATGGCCTGGCTATGATTCGATCCTTGTGTTGTGAGGACTAGCGCTTCTTCGTGGAACCTAGGCCATGCTTAGAACGGTCAAGGGTACTGCCGTCGCAATCTGCATACCTTTTGGTCGTCCTTCGAGTGCCATATGCACGTTGTCGGGTAACTTATGCAGACCTTGCGGCACTGGAGGAGTTGAATGCCGACAGTTTTGAAGACCCGTGCCGGTGCATACGTTGCTTCAGTTCAGGGACGAGGGCGTCGTTTGTGGCACTTCGCCGGACAGGGCGGTTGGACACACTCAGCGCTGTCAATTTCCCGATCCCACTC